TAAAATTTTTTTTTTTTTGAGACAGGGTCTCCCTGTAGCCCCAGCTGTACTGGAACTCACTATGTAGACCAGGCTGGCCTTGAATTCACAGAGATATACCTGCCTCTGCCTCCCAAGTGCTGGGATTAAAGGCATGTGCCACCACGCCCGGCTAATATGTGTATGAGTGTTTTGCTTGCTTGTAGGTAAGTGCACCCCTGTCGTGCAATGCCTGCGGAGGACAGAAGAGGCAGTCAGATCCCCTGGAACTGGAGTTAGGGACAGTTATTAGCTGCCCTGTGGGTGCTAGGATTCGAATCTGGGTCTTCTGCAAGAACGACCAGTGTTCTTAACTGCTGAGCCATCTCTCCAGTCCCAATAAAATATTTTTTAAAAACAATACAGCCATGCCCATGGGCCAGCCTGACCTAGGCAAGCACTGATTCAGGTGATTCTAGGTTATAGCAAATTGACATTTTAAACTAGCCAGCACACACTGAGGTACAGATAAGGTGCAGAACTCAGAACAGGCCCTCAGGTATATAAAGTGAACCCCAGTGGGTGTGTGAGCTCTGAAGTGTTTTAAAAACTAAAAAGGGCTTTTAATTGCATGGACATTTGATGTGTTGGCCCGGCAAACCTCAAAATGTATTTTTATTCAAAATAAGCGCTCTGAAAACCTTGGCGTAATTCTTAGCGAATTCCAAGATGCTTGGTAAACCTCCCACTTGCAAACTTCAAAATAGGGTTTTATGATGCCGAAGAGTTTTAGGGACCCCAATGGCTTTGTGAACCTCAGCTTTGAAGACTCCACCCATGACCCCAGTCCCAGAAGTGCTGTGCAAATCCCAGAGGATTCTTTATGGTTTGGTCTGGTTTTGTGTGTGCCTGTGCACATGTATGTGGGAGCCAGAACCTCATGTTGGATGTCTTCCTCAATCACTGTCCACCTGATTTTATGAAGCAGAGTGGCTCACTGAACCTGAAGCTCATCCACTGAGCGAGGCTGGGAGACCTCCCAGGGAGTCCCGCGGGTCCTGTCTCCACCTCTGCAGAGCCTCGCTTTTAGGTCAGTGCTGGGGACTCAAGTCCTCACGATTGGGCATCAAGCACTTTAATGACTAATCCATCTCCTCATTCCTATTTTTTTTTTTTTTAAGTCTGAGACATTGTCTCAGTCTGTAGCCCAAAGCTGGTTTTGAACTTTGGAAGCTCTGGGCTCAGCCTTGTAAGAAGCCAGGAAAATAGGCCCAACCAAAGTTAGGATGATTTCCAAATAGGAATTTGGCCAGGAATGGTGCACACTGTGTATTTTTATTCAAAGTAAGTGCTCTGCAAACTTCCTGTGACCCTAGCTCTTGGAAGGTAGAGAAAGGAGGATTGGGAGTTTAAGGTCATCCTTGGCTGCAATGTGAGTTAGAAGCTAGTGTGAGCTCCATGAGACTATGTCACAAACATACACACACACACACACACACACACACACACACACACACAAAATGGGCTAGAGAGATGGCTCAGTTTGTAAAGTGCTTGTCTCAAAAGCAAAAGCACTTAAGTCCCCCCCGCCCCGTACCCACATAAAAATCCAATTACAGGCTGGGCATGGTGGTGTACGCCATTAATCCCAGCACTCGGGAGGCAGAGGCAGGCGGATCTCTGTGACTTCAAGGCCAGCCTTGTCTTCATAGTGAGTTCCAGGACAGTTGGGGCTAGAGGGGGACCCTGTCTCAAAAAGACCAAAAAAAAAAAAAAATACAATTACAGCAGCATGTGCCTATAGTATCAGTCCTGGGGAGGTGAAGACAGGAAGTTACCCTGGTGATCACTGGCCACCAAACCTAGCTGAATCAGCAAGCTCCAGGAAAATAGAGAGCAAGCCAGGCATGGTGGCACACACCTGTAGTCCCAGCACTTGGGAGGCAGAGGCAGGCGGATCTCTGTGAGTTCAAGGCCAGCCTGGTCTACATAGTGAGTTCTAGGACAGCTGGGACTACAGGGAAACCCTGCTTCAAAAAGACAAAAAAAAAAAAAAAAAAAAAGCACCCCTAGTGTTGAGGTCTGGCCTGCACACATGTACACACAGACACAGACACACAGACACACAGACACACACACACACACACACAGATGCCCACATGGCCCTGACCACCCTGGCTTTGTTTCTGATCCAGGATCACATGTTGTATTAGGGCTGTGAGTGTCTGATAAGCCTCAGAACTTCTAATCCCAAAATGCATGGCACATTCATACCACGTTCCAAACCCCAGAGGGCATTTAACTGACATGATCCATAATCCCAACAGATATCACAAATTCTAAAGTGCTGTTACACCTCCCTTCAACCCCCCTACAATGAAGGATGCCATAAACCCTTCAGTCCTTTAATCCTAAGGCATTTGAAAACCCCAAGTGCTCTGAAAAGCGCAAAGGGCTTTTTTTAGGGTAACCTTGAATTCCCAATCCTCCTGTCTCCACCTCCCAAATCCTGGGATTGTAGGTATGCACCACCACACCAAGCTTTTGTTTTATTTTTTTATTTTTATTGTATGTGTATGAGTGTTTTGCATGTATGTATATAAATGCACCACATGCGTGCAATATCATTGGAGATCAGAAGAAGGCATCACATCCCCTGGAACTAGAGCTACAGGTGGTTGTTAGCTGCCATGTGCATGCTGAGAACTGAACTCAGGTCTGCTGCAAGAGCAGCCAGTGCTCTTAACTACTGAGCCATCTCTCCAGCCCCATTGTTTCCTTTTAAAAAATAATTATTATAATTATTATTATTATATATGTGTGCCTGAGTGTGTTTATGTGTACTACATATTTTCGGGTGCTGGAGGAAGCCAGAGGAGGGCTCAGATCTCTGGAATTATAGGCAGTTGTAAGCTTCTTGATATGCACGAGTACTGGGAACTGAACCCAGGTCCTCTGCAAGAGCAGCCAGTGCTCTTAACCTCTGAGCCAGTTCTTCAACCCCCTTTTTTTAAAATTTTATAAGCAAATGCCTTTTGTGCATATTGATAAATTGTTCTGTGCTGTTTAAACTCACTGGGAAACTGGCTCTGGAGATAGGATTTGGCCCTCCCAGTTCAGATCCAAGCATGTTCATCTCAAAATGCCCTCTGCAAGCTCCTGGGACAAGCTAGACCCCTGACTCAGTGACCAGGAGGAGGACTATGGAACAACCCAGCAATGAAGATACTGCATTCTTGAGAACAGCTAAGGGATGAAATATTTCCAACAGAAGTTCTTATTTCATGATATAAAGATATCTGTAATAACAGCAGCTGACAGGATGCTCTATTTTACACAGTGTCCTTGGGTAGGAACCTCTCCAGTACTGAAGTTTCAATACAGGAGAAATGGAACCACACATGAGCTTGCCATGCCCTAAAAAAAGTAAAAGATGCAGGCCAGCTCCCTCCTTAGTCCTGGGATAAGAAAAACTTTGCTTGTCACTTTAGATGTAATAAGAACTTATCACTTTAGATGTAATAGGAAATTTTTTAAATCCTCACAAACTTATAGAAACCCATTTAAAAATACTTTGGTTTAATCGTAGATAATTCAAATTGGACTATAAAAATTTTTGTTTGTCTAAATGTTGTTGGTCCTTTTCTTTTTCAAAGACTTTTTTTTCAGTGTTTTAAAAAATTATGTATACATATGGGTACATGCACCTGAGTGCAGGTTCACATTGAGGCCAGAAAGGGGTATCAGATTCCCCAGAGGTGGAGTTACAGGCAGCTGTGAACCAGCCCAGTATCTTTTGTTTGTTTGTTTTTCACACACAGTCTCCCTGTAGCCCCAGCTGGTCTGAAACTCGCTATGTAGACCAGGCTTGTCTTGAACTCAGGCTAATTCTTCTACTGCAACCTCCCAGGTGCTGAAATTCAGGCACAAGCTAGCACATCTGTCTTCAAAAATGGCTTTTCATACATTTTTCTTTACGTGAATGAGTGTTTTGCCTGCATGTAAGTGTACCACATGTGTCCAATGCCTGTGGAGGCCAGTAGAGGGCATCAGACCTCCTGGAACTGGAGTTACAGACGATTGTTAGCCATCATGTAGATGCTGGGAACCAAACCTGGGTCCTCTGCAAGAGCAGCCATTACTCTTTTTAAAAATATTTTATTTTTATTTTATGTGTATGTATTGCCTGCAAGTATATAAGTACATTCCGTGCTCATGGAAATCATAAGAGGGCATCAGATCCCCTGGAACTGGAGTTATTGATGGTTGTTAGCTGCCATGTGGGTGCTGGGACTCAAACCTGACTCCTCTGCATGAGCAGCTAGTGCTCTTAACTGCTGAGCCATTTCTTTGGTCCCCCAGAAAAGAAATCTTCAAAAAAGAAAAAGTTTATTTAGCACACTGCAAAAACTGCTTCAGGCATGAGAGAATACAGAATTGTACCCCAACGGGCTCTTTACCTGTGTGAGCTGAGGCCTGGGTCGAGCTGTCCCATGGAGAGACCCAATGCCTTGGATGTGAAGTGTGGCTTTTAACAGGCTCTCCCTGTGCCTCCTCCCAGGTGCCCAGAGTGGAGAAGGAGGCCCTGGTGCCCACCAAGGAGGCCACTGACAGCTTGCACCCAGAGCCCCGGCAAATAGCGTTCTGGATCATGAAGCTGCCCAGGCATAGGGCCCACCAGAATGTGCAAGACAGCAGCCCCTGGCTCACTGAGAAGCGACACCGCCTGCAGGCCATCCGGGATGGGCTGCGTGGAGGTGCCCATGAGGACAGCCTGGAGGATGGGGCCCATGTCCCCATCGTGCCCCACGCCAGGCTGCCTGTCCGAAAGACCCACTTTCTCTACATCCTCAGACCATCCCAGAAGCTCTAGGGTAGGGACCCAGAGTCCTTGCATGTGCCACACCCAACCCCAGCACCTGATGGAAATAAAGATTTTTCTCATATCTAGCACTCTTGATATCTGAATTGGGCTGCAGTACCTACCCCAGAGACCCCCACATCTTAACCCTGAATGTGGCTTCTGACCACCCAGTTCTAGCATCTCATTCACACTTGCTCCTGACCTGTAACGTGGTCCCCTCCAGTCCCATCCACCACCCCATCCTAATGCCTGTTACTTCTGTCCTGTCTGCCCTTCCAAACCCTCAAGTCTCTCCTTACAGCTTTACCTGTCACACCATAAAGGTGACTAGTGACCCTCACAAAGGATGGGAAAATTACCAAGTTGTACACAAGGAATTCCAAAGAGTAGAAAAACAGAACAGTCTGGAATCTAGTGTTTGATGCCAGCACAGCCTTGTTAGTGGAACAACATACCTTAGCCAGAAAGGAAAATCTGGTGATAGATGACAGATGATAGATAGATAGATAGATGATAGATAGATAGATAGATGATAGAGAGATAGATGATAGATAGATTGATGATAGATAGATAGATACATACATAGATAGATGATAGATAAATAGATACATAGATAGATAGATAGATAGATAGATAGATAGATAGATAGATAGATAAAGGATATGGGTCCATGAGTGAGCTCAGTGGGTGATGGGGCTTGCCACTGAACCTGATGACTTGAGTTCCACCGGCAAAACTGATGTAAAGGTGGAAGGAGAAAACCAACTTCGGAAAGTTGTTCTCTGACCTCAATATGTGTGCCAGTGCATGTACACATAAAGCACAATTTTTATCTTTTATGTGTAGGAGTGTATTGCCTGCATGTATGTAAGTGCCCCTGTGTGGTGCAATGCCTGAGGAGGACAGAAGGGCATCAGATTCCCTGGAACTGGAGTTACAGACAGTTGTGAGTCACTATGTGGGTGTTGGGAACCAAACTTGGGTCCTCTGCCAAAGCAGCCAGTGCTCTTAACTGCTGAGCCATCTCTCCAGCCCACAATTTTTAGTTTTAAATTTGTGTGTGTGTGTGAGCATATGAGCACATGTGAGTGCAGGTACCTGCAGGGGCCAGAAGAGGGAGTCAGATCCCTTGGAGGTGGACTTACAGGCATTTTAAGTCTTCTGACTGGGTGCTAGGAACTGAACTTACCTCATGATTAAGCAACAAGTGATCTTAACTACTGAACCATCTCTCTCTAGCCCCAATGCATTTTTTTTTTTTGAGACAGTTTCACAATATAGCCCAGGCTGGCCTGGAACTTACAGAGATCCACTTATCTCTGCCTCCCAAGTGCTGGGATTAAAGGCATACAGCACCACATCTGGCCCCCAATAAATTTTTTTTTTAAGTCTTTTTGAGACAAGGTCTCCCGGTAGCCTCAGCTGGCCTGGAACTTACTATGTAGACCAGTCTGGCCTTGAACTCACAGAGATCCACCTGCCTCTGCCTCCCAAGATCTGGGATTAAAGGTGTGTGCCACCACACCCAGCATAAATACATTTTTAAGGATTTTTATTTTATGTGTGTGAGTGTTTTGCTTGCTGGCAGGTACACACACCAGGTACATGCCTGGTGCCTCCAGAGGCTAGAAGAGAGCATTGGATCCGAAGTTAAGAATGGATGTTAGCCACCATGTGGGTGCTGGGAACTGAACCCAGCTCCTCTGCAAGAGCAGTAAGTGTTCTTACCTGAGCCATCTCTCCAGCCCCAAGGGGGCATGATGGTGCACAACGTTAATCACAGCACTGAGGAGGTAGCGGGAGGAAGAGCTCTGTGATTTCAAGGCCACCCTGGTCTACATAGTGAATTCTAGACCAGCTAGGGTTACAGGGAGACATTGTCTCAAATAAATAAATAAATAAATAAATAGGATTTAAACATATCCCAACCAAAGGGAAACTGATCCATAAATTCAAGATTATGTTTAGGTACCCCTTAAAAATATATTAATACATTGAGTGAGCATGGCGGTGAAAACCCATAATTCCTCTATTTCAGGGGCTGGAGGATCACTCCTAGCTAGAGGCAGCCTGCTCTACGCAGTGAGGTGTGGGCCAGCCAGGGTAACATAGTAAGACCTTTCTCAAAACAAAACAAAAAACTGCCTCTGTGGGGTGTGTGTGTGTGTGTGTGCGTGTGTGTGTGTGTGTGTGTGTGTGTGTGTGTGTGTGTGTGTGATATGCATGTTGGCACAGGGGTGGACATGGAGGCCAGAGGCTGACTTTCAGTATCCTTCAGCTTCTTTTTTGAGATGGTGTCTGGCTAGCAGGAACACTGTAGAGCCTCCTGTCTGTCCACCCCCAACACTGGAGGTGTGGATGTGTCCACCAGGCCCAAGTTTTGGTATGGGCTCTAGTGATCCAAACTCATGTCTTCACAGCAAGCCCTTTACCCAATGAACCTTCTCCTCACCCTCTAACTTTTTAAAAATATTTTATTATTTTTATTTTATGTGTATGAGTGTTATGCCTGCATGTAGGTAAATGCACCTGTGTTGTGCAATGCTAACACTTGTTAGCCACCATGCGGGTGCTGGGAATCGAACCTGGGTCCTCTGCAAAAGCAGCCAGTGCTCTAACTGCTGAGCCATCTCAGCCCCTCAATTTTTATTTAATTTTTTAAGATTGATTTTTATTTATATAATTGTGTCTGTGGGAAGGTATGCCATGTGTATGGGGTGCTCACAGGGGTCAGAAGAGGGCATCGGATCCCACTGAGCTGGAATTATAGGTGTTTGTGAGACACCTGATGTGGGTGCCGGGAACCAGACTTGGGTCCTCTGCAAGATCAGAACTGCTGATCATCTCTCCAGCTACCCCACCCCCATTTTTTAAAGGATTTCCCAAAATTATACAAGATCTCATAAAGAAAAAGCAATACTGAAGGGGGCCGGAGTGACAGCTCAGCGGCTAAGAGCACTAGCTGCTCTTGCAGATGACCCAAGTTCGATTCCCAGCGCCCACATGGCGTCTAACAACAATCCACAACTCCAGTTCCAGGGGATCCGAAGCCCTCTTCTGACCTCTGCTGGTCTTGCACGACACACACGCACTTACATACAGGCATAACACCTGTACGCATAAAATAAAAAATAAAATAAATATTAAAAAATAATGAAGGAGGGGCTGGAGAGATGGCTCAGCAGTTAAGAGTACTAGCTGTTCTTGCAGAGGACATGGGTTCAATTCCCAGCACCCACATGGCGGCTACGAACTGTCCTTAACTCCAGTTCCAGGGGAATCCGAAGCCCTCTTCTGACCTCCGCTGGCCTTGCACGACACACGTGCACTTACATACAGGCAGGCGTAACAACTGTGCACATAAAATAAATATCAAAAAATACTGAAGGAATAAAGTGTGAGCCTAAAAAATACTAACAAGCTGAGGGGATCTGCCACATGCAGCCTGAGCTAGGAAAATACTTGACATACACGCTTTTTTATTGAGACAGGGCCTCATGTATCCTAGGTCATATACCACTAAGTCAAAGATGATCTTGGGTTGGACATGATGGTGCATACTTTTAAAAGCACTGGAAGCCAGGCTTGGTGATTCATGCCTTTAATCCCAGCACTCGGGAGGCTGAGGCAGGTGGATTTCTGTGAGTTCAAGGCCAGCCTGGTCTACATAGTGAGTTCCAGGACAGCTGGGGCTACAGGGAGACCCTGTCTCAAGAAGACCAAAAAAAAAAAAAAACCAAACAAACAAACAAAAAAAGCGCTGGCAATGCAGGTGTGCACCGGCAGGTCTAGTTTGTGGGATCCTGGGGATGGAACTCAGGACTTTGTGCATGCTAGGCAAGCATTCTGCCAACGGAATGACGTCGCCAGCTCTTTATTTTTCAGTTGCATTTATGTATTTGTTTTCTGTGGGAGTAGGTGGTTGCAAACATGCCACTGAGTACATGTGGAAGTCAGAGGACCTCCTTCCACCATGCGGGTCTGAGTTTCAGACTCAGGTCACCAGGCTTGGTGGCAAGTGCCTTTATCCCCTGAGCCATGTCACCAGCCTATTTATTTGTTTATTTATTGTTGAGATTATGTATCCCTGGCTAGCCTGAAACTGGCTATGTAGACCAGGCTGACTTCAAATTCACAGAGATCCACCTGCCTCTGCCTCCCAAGCGCTGGGTTGAAAGCTGTGTGCCACCACACGCAGCCTTATTTTTATTTTTTGTGAAAAGGTCTCACTATGTAGTTCTCCCTGGCTAGCCTAGAACTATGTAGACCAGGCTGGCATCAAAGTTGTCTCCATCCTCCTGTCCATGCCTCCCTTGTGCTGAGTTGACCACAATGCACTCAAAAAAGCTTTTTCTTGTTTTTGGGACGGGGTCTCCCCATAGTCGCAGCTGGCCTGGAACTTCACTAGGTAGACCAGGCTGGCCATGAACTCAGAAATCTGCCCATCTCTGTCTCCCAAGTGCTGGGGTTAAAGGTGTGTGCCACCAGGCCTGGCTTCAAAAGAACTTTTAAACATCCAGTCATGCTCTTTTCAAGTGGCCTCACTTTGTACAGATCACAGCTTAGGCGGTGTGGTGTCTAGGGGTGGCATTCACAAATAGACTACATCTTGTGATGGACCCCAAAACAGAGTAAGTAGGCCTGGAGATGAGATGGGGCCCACAGTGGAGACTGCAGCAAGGCCATCTGTGCAAAGTGACAGATGGACAAGGGGTTGGCATCTTCTGTTCCAAGCCTCCGACACCTGTTCCCTCCTTCACAACATAAAGCTGCATGTCCTTTCCTTCCTGCATTTTCTCCTGAATGAAATGATTTCAGTAACCCAGTGTGATGGCTACCCCAGCCTGTCATCCTAGTATTCAGGAGGCTAAAGCAGGGGGACTGCCACAAGTTCAAGACCAGCCTGGGCAACACTGCCAGACCCTCTCTGAGTAGAGATAGAAGACAGATAGATGATAGATTGATAGATAGATGATAGATAGATGATGATAGATAGATAGATAGATAGATAGATAGATAGATAGATAGATAGATAGATAGATAAAAATGATAAGTGGATGGATGGAGAGATATATAGATGATAGATGGATGATGCATGGACAGATAGATGATGGATGGATGGATGGATGGATGGATGGATGGATGGATACATAGATTGGATGGAGGATGATGACAGGTGATGGATGGATGGAAAGATGATATAGATGGATGATGATGATGACAGAGATCGATAGGGGATAGAAATGGATGATGATGATAGAGATCGATAGATGATAGAAATGGATGATGATGACAGACGACAGGTGATAGAAATGGATGATGATGATAGAGATCGATAGATGATAGAAATGGATGATGACAGACGATAGGTGATAGAAATGGATGATGATCATAGAGATCGATAGATGATAGAAATGGATGATGACAGACGATAGGTGATAGAAATGGATGATGATGACAGAATGATAGGTGATAGATATGGATGATAATGATAGAGATCGATAGCTGATAGACGGCTTGGGAACGCAGCCTTGGCTACGTATGAACGCCACAGGAGGGGATGGAGCGGAAGCGAGGCTGAACCAGACTGGACACCATTGTGACGGTGGCGAACAAGCCGGACCCAAAAGAAGACAGACAGACTCAGTTGAGTTGGCTGACAAGAAGTGAGAGGGGGCACGGAGCCCTTCCGTCCACGTATCCCTGCGTCGGCCTCATCTCAACACGGCCGAGCGGAAGACTCGACCACAGACAGCAGTCCTCGCCGTCGTCCCTGCGCGCTCCCCGAGTGCGCGTGCGCTCGCTCCACAGGCCTCGGCGCGACCCCGGTGCAGCTGTGCGCGTGCGCGCCCAGTGCTTTGGTGCGTGGGGAACGCGGCGGGCTCCGGCCCCAGGGTGTGCGCCTGCCAGGAGCCGGGAGGCCGTGGGGCGGGGCTGGGGCGGGGCTTGCTCCGGCCGCCGGTACATTTGCATTTCTGGCGGGAAAGCCGTGCGCGACCGAGCTCGCGTCTCCGGCGCCATTTGCAACCGCCGTCCGTCCTTGGTGGCCCTGAGCTGGAGTGCGCGGATCCAGGTACGCCCGGCCCGTGTGCAGTAGGGGCCTTGCCAGAGCCGCCCGGATATGCGGCTGTACCCCTACCGGAATCCAGTAGCAGACCCCGTTAGACCTGGGGCACGGCCTATCAGAACCTTCTAGAAACTTCTCATGGCCTTGTGGAGTGCTCGCGTTCAAGGGAAGCCCAGGCTAGCCTCGAACTTGTGGCCCTCTCCCTTGGTCTCAGGATGACAGCTCCCCCCACCCCCATGCCCAGCCACAATCTTCTAGAAAGTCCCTCCCATTTCTCCCTCAAAATCTGGGGCCGGAGAGCTGCTGGCTCACCCACATGGCAGCTAACAAACTCCCTAAGTCCAGTTCCAGGAGATCCCTCTCCCTCTTCTGACCTCCGTGGGTATTGCATGCACAGGTGCACTTACATACATGCAGGCAATAAGCTCATACACATAAAATAAAAATAATAAATAAAAACCAGGCATGGTGGCACATGCCTTAAATCCCAGCACTTGGGAGGCAGAGGCAGGTGGAGCTCTGAGATTGAGCCCAGCCTGGTCTACATAGCAAGTTCCAGGCCAACTGGGGCTACAGAAGACCGTGTCTCAAAAAAAAAAAAAAAAAGTAAATTTAAAAATAAATAATATTAAATGTGTCCAGGAAATGTGCAGCCTGCAGGGGACCCTTGGCCCCAGGTGCCCTGTCAGCCCTAGAGGCACTTCAGCCTAGCACCTGGGAGAATTACTGGTAATTGCCGCCCCCCCCCCTTTCTCTTGAAAGACTTTGGCTATTCTGGTTGTAATGAAGGCAGAACAGAGCACTGTCAGAGCACAGAGGAGGAATGCCCAGGTCCCCAGGAGCCTGTGAGTAAGGGTCAAGTCCACAGACAAGGACCGGCCTGGAGGGAACAGGGTCGGGACTAGAAACCAGGGGAGCAGCTCCCCGGCCATGAAGAGTGAGGGACCTGGGACTCAGCTGAAAGGGAAAAAATGACAAAAAGAGACTTGCCTGGAGGCAGGAGGGTCATAAGTTCAAGGCCAGCCAGCCTAGGCAACTAAGTGTCATCCTGTCTCAAAAAGGAAAGAAAAAGGACTCGGGGTGTGGCTCAGTGGTAAAGCCCCCGCCTAGACTCCCCAGTGAGGGGCTGGGGTGTGGCTCAGGAACACAGCCCCTGCCTAGAATACCCCAGTGAGGGGCTGAGGTGTGCCTCAGAAACAGAGCCCCTGCCTAGAGTTCCCCAGTGAGGGGCTGGGGTGTGGCTCAAGGGTAGAGCCCCTGCCTAGAATCCCCCATTGAGGGGCTGGGGTGTGGCTCGGGTAGAGCCGCTGCCTGGCATACATAAGCTCTATATCTAATCACCAGTATGCTTTTTACCAAAAATAAGGCATGCACGACCCGGCTGCACTTACCTACATGCAGGCAATACACACATACACATAAAATAAAAATAAATAAAATATTTTTTAAAAAAGAAAATACTTCTCACAGGAAACCTCAAAGAAAAGAGATTAACATTTTTTTTTACTATACTTGTAACCATAGATAATAATGTAAATTTTGTACAATAAAATCTTATTTCTGGGCCGGGCGTGGTGTTGCATGCCTTTAATCCCAGCACTCAGGAGGCAGAGGCAGGTGGATCTCTGTGAGTTAAAGGTCAGCCTGGTCTACATAGTAAGTTCCAGGACAGCTGGGGCTACAGGGAGACCCTGTCTCAAAAAGACCAAAAAAAAAAAAATCTTATTTCCTTAAAAAAAAAAGAAAAAAGGCAGTGCACTTGAGGGACCCCTGTGTCATTACAGATGGTGGGCATGGCCCTAGTCCCGGTATCCCAGGGTCGTGGGAGTGCTGGAGGCACAGAAGAGGAGGCTGATTCTAGCCTAAAAGCAACCCTCCAAATCCTGGATGAAGTGGTCAGAACCCCGCTCTGGGCAGTTTGGGATTCAGTCCAGGTGGAGTGAGAGATGTTTTCATTTAGGGTTTTTTTTTTGTTGTTTTGAGACAAGGTCTCCTTATAGCCTCAGCTGGCCTGGAACTCATCATGTAGACCAGGCTGGCCTCGAACTCACAGAGATCCACCTGCCTCTGCCTCCCAAGTGCTGGGACTAAAGGTGTGCGCCACCACTCCTTTAATGTTTCTAAAGAAGAGAAAAGGGGCTGGACAGATGGCTCAGTCGTTAAGAGCACTGGCTGCTCCTACAGAGGACCCAGGTTCGAGTCCCAGCACCCAAGTGGTAGCTAACAACCATTCATAACTCTAGTTCAGAGGATTCAGCACCTTCTGACCTCCTTGGGCATTGTACAACACAGGTGCACTTACACACATGAAGGCAGTACACTCATACACATAAATAAAAATAAATTTTAAAGAGAGAGACAGAAAGGCTAGGAGTGTTCCACAGACCACAGTAGGAACAGCAGACAACTTTATGAAGTGTGCACTTCAGAGTTGCTGGAACATGAAGCCCACAGTTCGGGGAGGGAATGCACTGGCCCAGGCCACCCGGCTCCTCCATTGCTAGGCTCTATAGCAGTCTCTGTCCTCAGGTGGTAAGAAGCCACATACAGGCACTGAGGAGGTGAAGGGGGGTACAGCTCTGCCACTGCTGGGAATGGACTGGAACCTGGGAGGAGGCTGTGATATGGGCCCAGCCAGAGACAGGGTCACCCTGAGGCTGGCAGGTCTGTGAGGGAAGAGAGAAAGAAGGGCACGGGGTGGATGGAGTCTCTGAGCAGGACAGACCAAGCTGGGGACTTGATAGGCTGTAGGGAGTTGAGGAGGAGGCTACCCCACCCTGGGGGCAGCAGCTCACCCACCCCTTTTCCTCTTTGATCTCCTCAGGCCCCATGTTGCCATCCCACACCTCAGATGCATAAAAACAGGTTGGAACTGGAGCTGCCAGCTCTGGATGGGGGTGGCAAACAGGTTCTGAGAACCCCAGGGCCTGGGGCAGAGGTGGGTGGGTCCCCACCAGAGGCTGACTAGTCTAAGGAACCATCCTCTCCCTGTCTTTTCAGGAGCCGTCTGGACAGCCTCTCCCTTCCCCAATCCCTCCTGGCCCTGGAGGGAGGCTAGTAGCGTCAGCAGCTGCAGAGCTGGAGGAGTGGTCCATGGACCTGCCAGGAGGCCGGGCTGGTGGCCCCGCTGCAGAAAGTAGGTGTCTGCCTGGAGGAGGAAGAGGGGCTGGGGGTCAGGCTGGGATAGGAGAGGAGCTTGGGTAGCAGGACAAGGAAGGCAGGAGTGCTGGATGGAGGGCTCAGTGTCCACCAATTTCCCACCATCCGTCCCCATGTTGGGCAGGAATGCGGGATGGCGGGCTCAGTGTCCACCGATTTCCCACCACCCGTCTCAGTGGTGGGGAGGAGTGCAGGATGGCGGGCTGAGTGTCCACCGACTTCCCACCACCCGTCCCCATGGTGGTCAAGAGTGCGGGATGGCAGGCTGTGTCCACCGACTTCCCACCACCGGTCCCCATGGTGAGCAGGAGTGTGGGATGGCGGGCTAAGTGACCACCGACTTCCCACCACCCATCTCCATGGTGGGCAGGAGTGCCGGATGGTGGGCTGTGTCCACCGACTTCCCACCACCTGTCCCCATCTTATGCTCTTCAGTGGGTCTTGTGAGCACAGAAGCCACTTCACACTGTGCCATTCACTGAGCACATTCCCTCCTCTGTACACTCTGCTTCCTCTATTCAGATCTTGGCCCAGTGTCACCTGTTACTTTGAGTAAACTGCTGCATGGCCACCCCCACCCACCCCCACCCATCACCCC